AGTGATTTGGGATTACTTTCTTACTACTTTGTAATCGAAGTTTCGTAAAGGAAGTAGGGAATATCTTTGCACCAAACGGCTTATGCAAAGAAGATTTTAGAGCAATTTGGGTTGCTAGATTGCAATCTGACAACATCACTAATGGAACCTAAGTTGAAAGCTAAGAAGGATGAAGATGGTGAAAAGGTTGACCCATCCGTATATAGGCGAGTGGTAGGTTGTTTGAGGTACTTGACCGGACTTATCATTTTCGGTTGGAATTGCAAGTCGTTTCATGGAGGAACCAACCACTTTACATTTTCAAGTTGTGAAACACATCTTACGATACGTGAAAGGAACTGTTCATTATTCATTATGGACTAAAATATGGAAAAGATCGTGAAATTGAAGATTTGGCTGGTTTTACTGATAATGATCTCGGAGGTGACCCTGTTGATAGCAAGAGCACAAGTGGGATGATTTTCTATCTAGGAAGGAATGCAATAATTTGGCAATCCCAAAAGCAAAAGATTGTTGCTTTGTCCACATGTGAAGCTGAGTTCATAGCAGCTACAACAACAGCATGTCAAGCCATTTGGCTTGCTAATCTCGTGAAAGAGCTCACGGGACATCATATCATGCCTATCACCTTATACGTTCATAATAAATCAGCAATCGCATTGATAAAAAATTCTATGTTTCATGGTCGAAGCAAACACATTGACATTCGTTATCACTTCATACGAGAATATGTAGAATATGGGCAAATTATAGTGGAATATGTCAACTCGAAGGATCAACTGGCGGACATCTTTACAAAGTGATAGCTTCATTTTATTTACTTCTTTTTATAGTTTATTTTAGCATATTTCATTCATAATTTAGATAATTTCCATGCATATTTTCCTTTTTGTTATTTTATGACTATTTCGGGTACTCTCGAATCTTGTGAGCATAATTGCAAGTTTTCAGGTCTAGCGGAGCGGGAGTGTTCGGGACGTATAGGAGGCGATGAGATTTGGTAGATAAAAATGATGCTGGGCTTGATGGGTAGTGGCGATGATGCATGGAGTGATCTTGATGATTATTTGAAGACTTGGAGAGAAATAAACTTTAAATTTGCAAGATGCGGAGGAATATTCAAGCGTACGTAAATTATTAATCGGGCGAATTCACGAGCTTTGGAGGATTTGGAGAGGTCAAATTGGGCTTAAAATGAAGAAAAACTTGAAGAAAATGGGCTAGGAGGTGATTGGATTCGATCTGGGCCAAGTGGGCTAAGCTATGGAGGCCCAAAACCTCAAAGATGCTACATCCAAGGACCACCCGCGCAAGAGCACGCGGGTCGCGCAACCTCCTGCAGGGGCAATTTCGGAAATTCTTCTTTTGAGCTATTTGAGGAAGGTTGGTGCCCATCTTTTGCATACTCTTGGACATCCGATTTTTGAAGATTCTCTCTGGAGTTTTGGAGACTTTTGAAGGCCAAGAACCCTTGAAGAACATCATATTTTTACCTCTTGATTCTTGCTTAATGTTTGGTACAAATTTCTCTAACTTTGTTTCTTTGGGTTTAGCCATGCTTGGCTAAGCTAATCTTGGTTGACTTTTGGTTAATCCTTTGAACTTTTGTTGAATGTTGAAGAATCCATGAACATGTTCTTGAATCTTTATGGAAATGTTTTGTGTTTTAACATCTTATCATTACTTGTATGTTTTAGTTCATGAGTTTAAATGTGTTTATGGTGATTAGTTGGCTAATTTCTTGATTAAGTAAAGGATCCTCAAATTAGCAAGCAACAAATGATTTTTGTGTTGTTTTTGCTTCACACAATCATAAAAACATTTCCTCCAACATGGTGGTGAAAGCATTTGACCCCTCTTGATTTGGTGACTTTTTGGTTCTTAATGCTAGTTGAGTTTCACTAATTACATGCTATTTGGAATTAGTGACTTTGACTAAGGAAATTGTTATGAGCTTCTCTAGCCATTTCAACAATTAAGAAAAGTCTAGGTAATCTCAAGCTCCTTGGATTACTATAGCCAAATTGAGGATTAAAAACAAGTATTGCACCATTGAATTCTAATGATATGTTCATCAAAAGTCAAAGTGAGAAAACTTTAAGTCAACCATCTTTCCCTTATTGATTTTACATCAAATTCTTATTTTTGTTGCAATTGTCTATTTAAATCAGTTAATTCTAGTTTGTTTCAAGTATTTCAAAACATCAAAACCCCCATTTTTAATTTATTGTCATATTCCAAGTATTTTACAAAGAGATTTTTCATAGAGTTATCAAATTGAACCAGTCTCCGTGGATTCGATCCCTTTACCACTATACACTATTTTAGTGTGTAATATTTAGGGTTATTATTTGTGTTGGCCTCGACAACCACCACAAAGGCTTTAGTATACGTGAAACATGGTGAAATGCGAAACATGATCAACGTGACGATTCTCGAGCCAAGTTCGGTTTAAAGGGGAGAATGTGAGTGTAAACCTAACTTAGGTGACTTGGGTATGAACCTGACATGAGTAGCTACACCACCCTCTCTGTTGACAAATGAATGCCTCCTTTGTTGACAATAACAACTAGAAATGGAAGCCTCTTTATCTCATACAATGAACACAATAAATTGCCATGGTACTTATAGTGGCTAGCTTTAGTATAAATAGATATTGTAATCTCAGTTGTAAGGCACCACAAAACAAAGAGTGACAGAGAAATACTTAGAGTGAGTATTTGTAATACAGGATTGTTTTCTTTTCTTGTAATATTGAGCTAGTAAGCTCCTCCTTTTGTTCTAGTTCTGAATAAAAGTGTGTTTCAATCCCAACAAACAATATATGTGTGATTAATCATTAATTATACATTACATCCCCAATGAACGAGTATTGAAGGGTATAAGCGTCATTTTATAAAACCTGATTAGAAAATAACGATAGTATGCCACTTTCGACACAAAAATTAAAAACTACACGCCCAACAAAATCTGCTTGGTTCCCTATGTTAATATATGAAAAAAAAATGGACATTATTCATCTTGATAAAATTGTATTGGTAGAGAAAACTATTAAAGTAAAAACAACAATTTTGAAGTTCTTTACCTTTTTTCTGGATAGGACGATTACATCTGCAAGTGTAATGGGTCAAGGAGGAGAGAGATAGCACTATGGATGCCTTCATCATTTTACGTTGCAACTGCCAAGCATTGTAAGAGTTCAAAGGTTTGGCCATTTGGGTTTGAGAGCGAAGCACCGGAATTGATTAGGGTTTGAGGGTGATGAAAAACTGATATACTAACCTAAATTATCCATGTTATAACGAAAAACTCAATAACATTGCAGCTTGATTACGTTCCAGATTCTTTGCTAGTCAATCGAATTCAAATAGAAAGAGGATTATATTACTGATTTATTGGAATAAGATCATATACCAAAGGAAAGATAATGGGATGAAAAAAGTGTTAATTGAGTTACAGAGCTAATGAAAAGTAAATAAAACAAACTAGGCTGAATAGTGGAGACAACTTCACCCATCTAAGCACTAAATTCACAATTGACAATCAAGATAGCAAATACCTTGTATAAAAGATTAGAGACAACAAAAGTGGAAAGAGATGAGATCTTGCAAAAAATAGTGGTTATAACGTGTCAGTTTTTGTATTCATTGAGATAAATATTGCTACCTACAATGCTCTTATATCAAACAGTTTATGAAGCGATATTCAGAACTTCATATCCACAATCCAAATTTTCAGAATTAATATGGTCAAGTAGATAAGCTACAAACTAGCCATTGGCAATGAAACTATTTCAGTACCCAACGAAAAAGCTATGCAAGTATGAATATGGATATTGAAATGAAACAGATTGTTATGCTTAAACTCTGGAAAATCTAAATTTGGTTCATCAAACAGATTAATTAAGCTTAAATCCATCAATTTTGCAACTTGAGGTTCATATTCATCCACAACCACCATTGACGTCATCATCAAAAGTAAACATGTTACAAAAAAAAAAAATGAAAGTTTATTCCAGATATTTCTTAGGTGTGGCAAATTAATAATTCAATGAGAGATCACATCATTCTTGTTTTGAGATTTCACTCAGGCATTTTATCAAACATATAGCGAGCATGTAAAACTGCCAAACAGAAACTTGTTCAGAATGACGATCAGTGAGCATGGAAACTCAAAACGCTTGTTGGAACCTTATAAAGAAAACAAAAAAGTCAAAAAACCTTAGTTGCGTTGCCTATGGAAAATAACTTGCTTCGATTGGCAGAGAAATACATACATATACATACATACACGATGAAACATTTTCTTCAATTAATGGGTGGTTCAAATCTAGAGATAAAATTGATTAGAATACATTCGTTGCAACTTGTTTTCAGATGAATACATGTTTTAATCTGGCAATGAGAGATACACATAGGGATATGATTCATTTGAAAATGCCAAGAAAACGGTGTCAGCTGCTTCGAACATGTAAGAAATCGTTATAAGATATGTTGTCCTACAAAATGACGGATTAATTACTCTAGAAAATAGTTGACTGAGAAGATAACATCATTGAACATATTTTGTTTTTGGATATAAATGATGTTATTAGATGTAGAACTCAAACTTCCATATTAGAAACATATTTAAAAAAATCGCTTAACTAATTTCAACTGATGTGGAAAAATGCTGATTATTAAAATGGTTTGAAATAAAAAAATCACATACTCCCTCTTCATGTTGTCCAGGGGTTGATTCGCATGTGTTGGCTTCCACCTTGTAGTGCAAAAGAATAAAAAAAATAAAGAGTAAACGAGTGATTAAATAAATATTGTATTTTAACAGCCAGCTAGCTAGGTGGAAAAGATATTATAAACTGTTGACATGAACAACGGCTTGAAATCAGTATAAAGAATGGTCTGAATCCTTCTTTTTTCTGCACTCATTTTATCTGCATCCCCAACATATATACATACCCAAGTGCCAAGTGCTCTCATTTTACCTTTACACTAAAAGCCATGACTGAGTTAGTTGTTTCTGCCTTTTTTTCATTGTTCTTTGATAAGTTGACCTCTGAAGCCTTGAACAAGATTGCCTGTGACAAGGGAATCGAGTCTGAGCTCAAGAAACTGAAGATGTCATTAGACCAGATCCAAGCTCTGCTTAATGATGCTTCTCAGAAGGAGGCAACTAATGAATTTGTTAGAAGATGGCTGAATGGTCTCCAACATTTGGCTTACGACATAGACGATGTTCTTGATGATCTGGAAACCGAAGATATGGAACGTGAGTTGACTGACAACTCTGGATCCACCATAAGCAAGGTAAGAGAGCTTATCCTGACTTGCTGCACTAATTTCTCACTAAGTTCTAGGATGCATGGCAAGTTAGATGATATTGTCACCGAGTTACAAGAACTAGAAAAGGCAAAAACTAATCTTGGTTTAAGTGTGATAACAAATGAAATGGCAAAAGTTAAAAGACATGAGGCCAGTTTGGTAGATGCAAGTGTTATAGTTGGACGTGAAGGTGATAAGAACGCATTTGTTCAAAAGTTGTTAGGGGGTAAAGATGAATCGTCTAGTCAAAACTTTAGCATTGTGCCAATAGTTGGTATGGGTGGGGTAGGTAAAACAACTTTAGCTAGGCTTTTGTATGATGAAAAGGAAGTAAAGCATCACTTCCAAGTCAGGGCTTGGGTTTGTGTTTCTCATGAATTTGATATTTTTAATATAAGTAAAGTGATTTATCAATCTGTGACTGGGGAAACCAAGGAATTCACAGATTTAAATATGCTTCAAGAAGCTGTTAGAGAGAAACTTAAAGACAAACTATTTCTAATAGTGCTGGATGATGTATGGTCCGAGAGCTATGATGATTGGGATAAGTTAGTGGGCTCATTTCTTATGGGGGCTCCTGGAAGTAGAGTTATCATGACAACTCGGAAGGAGCAGTTGCTTAGAAAAATGGGTTACACTCATCTAGAGCACTTGCCGAGTCTGTCACATGATGATGCTATGTGTTTATTTTCTCAACATGCATTGGGTGTAGATAACTTTGATTCACATCCAACACTTAAACCCCATGGTGAAGGGTTTGTGAAAAAATGTGTTGGCTTGCCTTTAGCTTTAAGGGTATTTGGACGGTTATTGAGGACGAAAACGGATGAGGAAGAATGGAAGGTGTTGTTAAACAGTGAGATTTGGAGGTTAGGAAATGGAGATGAGATTGTTCCGGCTCTTAGACTAAGCTATAATGATCTTTCTGCCTCTTTGAAGCTGTTGTTTGCATATTGCTCCTTGTTCCCCAAGGACTACATGTTCGGCAAAGAGGAGTTGATTCTGTTGTGGATGGCAGAAGGGTTTTTGCACCAACCAACTAAAAGCAAGTCCATGAAAAGCTTGGGTCACGAATATTTTGAAGAGCTGTTGTCGAGGTCCTTTTTTCAACATTCTTCTGATGACGAATCATTGTTTATGATGCATGACCTCATGAATGACTTGGCCATGTCTGTCGCTGGAGATTTTTTTTTAAGGTTAGATATTGGGATGAAGGAGTACAGTAGGATGGATGCTTTGCCAAAGCTCCGCCATATGTCATTTGTTTCTGAGCATTTCATGGTTCACGAAAGGTTCAAGCCACTCAAAGGAGTTAAAAATTTGAGAACAGTTTTAGCATTGTCTTTAGGGGTGGTAAAAAGTTGGGAGCAGATTTTCATATCGAATAAGATCATAAATGACTTACTTCAGGAGTTACCATTGTTAAGGGTCCTAAGTTTGAGCGATCTTAGCATAAGCGAGGTGCCAGAAGTCATTGGAAGTATGAAGCATTTGCGGTATCTTAATCTATCCCGGACTGAAATCCAGAATTTACCAGAAAATGTTTGCAATCTTTATAATTTACAGACGTTGATTGTTTATGGCTGTAAGTATTTATTTAAGTTGCCCGAGAACTTCTCAAAGCTTAAAAATTTGCAGCATTTTGACATAAGGGATACTCCGCTATTTAAGAAGATGCCCTTAGGGATTGGTGACTTGAAAAGGTTACAGACTCTCTCCAAGATCATTATTGGAGGTGAATCCGGCTTCTCATTAACCAAGCTTAAGAACCTGCAAAATCTTCATGGTAAAGTTTTTATAGAGGGACTGGGAAATGTGGAAAATGCAATGGACGCACGTGAGGCGAACTTCTCGCAGAAAAGGCTTACTGAGTTAGTGTTGGATTGGGGTGATGAGTTTAATGCTTTTGGAACGGAAACTCATGAAATGGGGATCCTCAATGAGCTGAAGCCTCATAATGGCACTCTAGAAAAACTTGGAATCAAGTCATATAGAGGTATGGAGTTTCCAAATTGGGTTGGGGATCCCTCCTTTTGTCGATTGACTAGAGTGTCGATAGATGGCTGTGAAGAATGTGCATATCTACCAAGACTTGGGCAACTACCATCACTGAAGGAGCTATTTATTGGTGAGATGAGTAAGGTGAAGGTTGTAGGTTTGGAGTTACTTGGGATCGACCATGCATTTCCTTCACTTGAAATCCTATGTTTTAAAAGTATGTCAGGGTGGGAGGAATGGTCAACAAATAGTGGGGCGTTTCCTTGCCTTCAAGAGCTTCATATTGAAGATTGTCCTAATCTGGTTCAAGTCTCACTTGAAGCACTGCCTTCATTAAGGGTTTTAAAGGTAATAAAATGTGGTCATGGTTTATTGAAAAGTCTGGTTGTTGTGGCTTCATCAGTTACTGTGTTGGAAATAGACGATATTTGGGGGCTTACTGATAAATTGTGGAGAGGTGTGATAGGGTATCTTGGGGCAGTTGAAGAAGTAAGCATCAGTGGGTGTGATGAAATAAGATACTTGTGGGAATCAGAAGCAGAGGCAAGTAAGGTTCTTATGAATTTAAAGAAGTTGAATTTAGGAGAATGTGAAAATTTGGTGAGTTTAGGGGAGAAAGAGGAGGATGATAGTGGGAGCAGCCTAACATCTTTTAGGAGGTTGAGAGTATGGGATTGTAACAGCTTGGAGCATTGCAATTGTCCAGATAGTCTTGAGTCATTGATGATTCATGGTTGTTATTCAATTACATCCGTCTCCTTCCCAACAGAAGGAGGGCAGAAGCTCAAGTCACTTTCCATCACCGATTGCAAGAAACTATCCGAAGAAGAGTTGGGAGGAAGAGAGAAGACAAGAATGCTTATAAACTCAAACATGCAGATGCTTGGCTCTGTAATTATACATAATTGGCCAAATCTGAAATCGATCAATGAATTGAGTTGCTTCATTCACCTCACCTGGTTGACATTATCAGAGTGTCCAAGTATGGATTCATTTCCTGACCATGAGTTGCCGAATCTCACCTCTTTAACACATCTGACAATTCAAAAGTGTAAAAGTATGGACGCATCCTTTCCTTGTGGGATTTGGCCACCGAAATTGAGTTATCTTGGAATAGGAGGTTTGAAGAAGCCCATCTCAGAGTGGGGCCCACAGAATTTCCCAACCTCACTTGTTAGCCTAAGATTATATGGTGGACCATATGATGATGTGAAAAACTTTGATCAATTGTCATATCTTTTTCCTTCAACTCTTACATATCTCGAAATAAATGGATTTCAGAAACTGAAATCTGTTTCAATGGGACTCCAACACCTCACATGCCTCCAACGTCTCTACATCTTCAACTGCCCAAAGATGATAGATCTACCAGAAAGATTGCTGCCTTCACTTCTTGTATTGTGGATTGAAGGGTGCCCAAATTTGAAAGAAAGGATCAGTAGAGGAGGCTCCTATTGGCCCCACATCTCCCTTATCCCCTGCTTTGAGATAGACTCTGTAATAACAAGTTCAACTTGAAGGTATGCCCCTCTCTGTGCCTTTGACTTCATTTGGTTTTATTATGTACAAATTGAACAATTGATTTGCTGATTCAAACAAATATAATCTGTATACAAGTATGTAGTTCCTCAAAAATTATGATTGTGTCTAAATCTTTAGTTAACATGAATTTGCTTACTGATTTTTGGATTTACTGTTTTCTTTTTTGTTTATGAATATGACTAGGGTTATCGTCATAGAAGGGTGATCACGATGAATTGCAAAATGAATGAAAATGGTTATCAAAGTCAAATACTTTAAAATTGAAATAAGTATTAAATTTGAACAGGGATTTGTTGTAGAATTATCATTATTTGTTAACGTTGTAATACAACTTAATGATGAAATCATGATAATAATAATAATAATTTAATAACATTTAGAGAAACCGATACAAATATGAGTATCATCTAAAAAACTACCAGGGTTGTACCCATGATTAACGCTAGTGTATTTTTCATTAAATAGCTCCATTTTCACACCTTTAAATCTTTAAATATGATTCCATACATTTGTCAAATTTCATTTCGACACTATTTAATTTAAATTCACGGCTTATTAATCGATTTCAAATTTATTTTTGTCAAAATTCCACACTTACAGCCAAGCAATAAAACATGAAAGGTCGGCGTCTGGAATGAATTTTGAAATAAAAGCATTAGAGGAAATAAAAGATCAAATATTGACTTACAGGGGAAGACATTGATATGGTGTTGTTTCTGCTGTACACGGTTGGTTTCTGTTGGAAAACAAACCCTTATGTAGCCAGTGATTTCCAAAATTTACTTCATATTTTCTTGTTCTAAATTTGTTTAAAATAGAATCTTGATATATGTGAATGACTTACTTTCCAACAATCATCCATGGAAATTAAGTGCAGAACTCGTGCTGATGAAGCTTCAATGCTTTTTATGTGCCAACATCTTTTCAATCATTCAAACTATGCTCAATCTTTTCAAAACCTCTTTGTTGCAATCTTGTTATGCTTTTACATAACTTTGTAAAGGTCTATATTTATCTAATTGTTAGATTGATTGTCTAATTTCTACGGTCAATGTCGGGAAAATATCATTGTAGCCCTATAAAATCTTGGCTTTTATTTTAAAAGGCCCATTGTATTTTTTTAGTAGCCTAGGGGCTTAAAGTCCAATGTTACATGTTAAAAAAGCCATTATCGACAAAATGTAAGGGTGAACCAGTCATCTTTTATAATCCTCCATAGCTTCGAATAAACTGAACTACAAGTCAAACCCTTAATCTTTGTGTTGCTCAATTCTTAATGGTATTCCCTACGTGAACAAGAGTCCAACTTCTGGGGATTTAATCGAGTTTCGTTTCAAGGAAATATTTGTGCAAAACAACCACATGAATGAAATACTCGAAGTGGAATCTTTTCTGAATGCTTGGTCCATTTGGATCAACCGAGACGAAAAAGGACCCCAAAGGAATCAAACCTTTTTGTTGTGATTTTCTAATATATGTTTTTGGTGATGAATAATTAATGACATATGCATAAGCCTTAAAAGGGTCGTCCACTTAATCGTTATCAAACATGTCGTACGTTACAAGTTATCAATGCTTATTTCTGGCATACGAGTCATCATTCATGAGTATCACCACAAAGAAGCTCAAATCAATCAACATGATGTTCAAGCATTGCATCGCAATCCATCCTTCTGAAGAGGCATTTCTGGGAGACAGCTTTTTTAGTCATCCACCACAATACTCACCAACTTATTCTAGCTCACACCCAACACACTTAATTTGTAAAGACACGCCACCTACTTCGACAAACACCCCGATATATTTGTGTTGGTTAGCAACAACAACAGTTCTTCCATGGTGTGTGCGAAGTTTGCTATGCTTGGTGGGAGTCATCCTCCTAAGTTGTTCTTCACAAAGACCACCACAGAAGTTGTGGTCGACCTCAAATTCGAAGGAATCATAGACGTTAAACGATTGTTGTTAATGAAAATTGTATCTAGATTCTTGTTAAAGATCTGAGGAGGCAATGGCCCTTCAAATTCGATGAAATGTATGTTGACAAATTTGAGGCTATGGGAGAGACATGATGCCGGAAAGGAAAGGTGTAACACCCCAAAATTTTCAAACTTTAAAATGCTATGGTTTTAAAATCTTTTCGGGTAATAACACATATTAAAAATAAATAAATAAAATAAATGGTCCCACAAAAACAATTAAAATTAAAACTTTGGGTGTTACCATTAAACATCATACAACCATAGCATGCAAATACGAATTACATTAATAACATTAATAAGGAACTTGACAAGTTCCACTCCATTCTCTATCTCTTGACTTCTAACTGTCATCTAAAATATTTTCTTCTTAATTGCAACCTGGAATACATGGCATTAAAAAGAGATATGTAAGACAAAAATGTCTCGTGAGCTACATGAGTTTTAAACCATAAAACAATTTCGATCATTTTCAGAGAAAAACTTCTTTCATGCATACCGTAAAACATTTTCAATCATATTAATGAAAAATCATTTCATACATAACATAATATGTCATATCATAAGTATCATTTCTTAGCTTATCATCTCATTAGCTTCTTTTCCATTTTAATTCCATTTCCATTTTTCAATTAAGGGCTAATTTCGGCAATAAACCGTTGCCATTTTTATACTTAGGTCCAAGCAATATCCCCAAGTCTATACTAAGGTGGAAATAACAAAATTAGTCCACCAAGGCATCATTCATGTTAGGACATCTATCTCGTGAAGGGGATGAGCTACCCGATAGATTCCTTTATATCCCTTATGGGGACATCATGGCTCGAGCAATATATTCATTTCATTACTTTCGAGTTCTTTCCAATTTCTTTCATTTCTTTTCACTAGTTTCCATTTCTTGTCGTTACTTTCCATTCTTTATATATTTCGTACATTAACATTAAAAATTCATTTCAAAAGTAAAGAATCTATACTTCAAAACATTCAATCTTCCAAAACGTTCTTTTCTTTCAAAAACATTCTTGCATTCAAGGCATTCTTTCAAAAAATCATTTCCAAAAACATTTGACACTTTCATTTCAAAAACATTTCATATATCAAATAATAGTGTTTCAATATCATAAAATCATTTTGCCATGTATCCCAAAGTGGGAAAATGCCAACAAGTACTCACCTTAATCACAAGAAGGCTAGCTAGCCTTCTTATACTTCCTTTCCTTAGAGCAACACTTTCAAACACTACTTATATATCAAGTAAAGGAAAGTAAATCAAATGACCAAAATAACCCTCAAGGGTCCCATACTAAATTTTACTTCTTTAAACTATTTCTTATGAAAAATTATGAACATAGGCGAAAATTGCGCTTAAAACCGTGTTCGTATGCAAAAGTTATGAGGAAAATACTAAACTTCAGATTTTTGGTCTAGTTGGACACTCTGTTGTCTGTGTGCGAGTCGCGTGCCTGACAACGCGGGTCGTGTCCCGTAGCAGCGCAAAAACTCACTTTTGAGTCCTAAACTTGCTTGTGTGGTTTTGGTCTTTTAGGTAACCATTGTTAACACTTTTAAAGGTTTCCAAGCACTACTAGAGGATGTTTTATCATCTCAAATATTCAACTTAATTCATTAAGTCCTCAATCAAAATGCTAAGTTCATAATGCTTACAAACACTCAAATAAAAGGGTTTAAAGAGGTTTGATAATCGAGTAATGAAAGAAATCATAGTACTAAAAAATTATGAACACCGAGAGTAAATATAATATTGTTTCAGCTCCATTATGCTTTTGAATACAGAGAGTGTTTAGATAGGAGAACTAGAAAGCATACAAAAAATACAAAGGACTCAACATTACAGTTTCAAAACACAAAATGCCTTTGTAAATAACTTTACTACACCACCGAATACACACAATCTTCGACACCTTACAATATATTTCGACTCTTACAATCTCCCCCTTTGTAAGCAGTGTCGAAATCAGGTTGTGAAAAGTTGAGCTGCTTGGTGTAACACCCTTCTTGTCTCGAAATACCAATTAACAACCTTCTTTATTTTTGATTTCTTGTGTTCGCTATTCTTCGCACAATTGTTCATTCTGATCAACAAATTTGTGTAACGCGAAGAAGTGAACCTTTCAATTTCATTAACTTGAAACATAATTTTTGTTGAAGTACCGTTCTTGTTCTTTCCAACGAACACAATCCCCAAGGGCTTCAAGCATATCTCCCCATCTTCGTAATCTTTAAGAAATGACTGATTTTTAATCATTGACTTGGGAACCGAAACTTTCTTTCCCAACGTTGTAGCCAAATCAATATCAGTGATAGCCAGGGCTCCATAATAACCATCGATGAATACCCTCAAGTGTTCAAAACCTATCATGAAGTCTTCTTTGTTAATCTGTTGCACCTTCGAATAATTAGTGAACTTCAAAATCTTCGCAACAATTAAAATATAATACAGGTTCATCACAGGGAAATCAGCAACTAAGATATCAAACATCAAATTGTTTGCTCTTACTGCAATATATTTGTAATTTTTTAGTATCCCTTTGAACAAAACATCCTTAGTAACATTCATCACTCGAACAATTTTTACCAAGGACGTAATTAGTTATCGCGGTCCAAATTTCAATAGCGGTCACATGCCGCTATTTGAAATAGCGGTTATCGCGGTGGTATAGCAGTAATATAGCGGTTTTTTAATATTATGTATAATTTATATTATATATGTATACAAAATTTATATATTAGATTATTAATACTATAATTAATATCATAAAAAATCATATAAAAACATAACATAATCTATATATAATATTTTAATATAGTTATATGGAAACTAAAAAGTATCAAAATGTCATTACAACTCAAGAAGTTTGTGGTTTCTAAGTACTGAAACAGACGAGAAAGGGAAGTTGTCATTTGTTGATTTGTAGTTTGTAATTAATTATATTTATTATTTTGACTTATTAAGACAAAAAGTGTAGTGGAATACTTAAA